ATACCATCGAACGAGGTAACCACTGGAAAGAAGAAAAAAAACAATGAACCCACGTATAGAATTGCCATGCCACCCCAAGAAGCTTCAGAAAAAGGCCACACTTTACCATCACTGAATTATATTAAAGTTACAACTTATAACTACTTTCCAGCCTGGGTGTCTAAATGTATCTAACAACGTCCCATTTCTCCATTTCAGGCCAGACCCTGGCTCGGCACGCCGTGACCGGGCCTGGCACACGGGTGGGCATCTCGAACTTCTTCGCGCTGCTCCTGGTGAAGGCCTTAGAGAGGTGTTGGAACGTCCACGTGCGGGGCTGAGGCCTAGCTGCATGCCTCGCTTCTTTCTCCCATAAAGAAGCGCGGTTCAAGGATGCTTTGTTCCCCAATATATGATTCACATAAGAAGAACATCAAGCTCAATGTTCCAACCCATGATTTGTTGACAATGCGGATCGCTGGTCTAGCCATGATCTTTGACCGACATTGCCTAGTAGGTCTTCCCCAAGGGTCTTGACTTCTCCCCTGCTTTGTTTGGTCCATCAACCCTTGGGCAAGGCACGCCATGCTGCGCCATACATATTCATCCAAAAAAGAGTGTGTCATAGTGTATCTCCACCACTAGTATCTGGTCTTTGTGAAAAGACATCGCCAACAAGCTGCTGGAAAAATACCTCTCCTTCGGCCCAAGTCGCAGCTTCTGTGCTCTGCTCCTCCAGGCCCACCTAGAGCCAACTGAGATCGAGTTGAACAAATGTTCTGGCATCAGCGGTTGGTGTTTTGCTGCAAATGAATGCACATTGCACATTGCGTATACTTTGCGGCAAACTCTTGAGTTTGCCCAGAAACAGGCATGAGTTGATGCTCAAGAGATTGATAGCACAGAGCGATCTTCTCAGAGTGCACGAGCGAGATCCTTTCCATCAAAAATACGTGTGAGGGAAGGCCTGTCCGCACCACACAGGCCTTAAGTCTTTCACAGATCAGTCCGCACCTGACTCTCGAAGTGTTTCCAATTTCTGGTCCGTCCCTCTGTTGTGGTTTAGAAAGCAACTGCGCGATCTCGAAACTCGTTGATTTCAACCCGTGCAGAGGGACGACACCGGACACGAAGGAAGGAATGTTCGCGTTGCAGTGCGGCGCAGAGCTCTCGGTCTCTCGAGCCCCGCCTGAACGATCAGGACTCCGGTCTCCTAAGGGATGAGGACGAACGCCAAAGCTGCGAAAAGCCACGAACGCGGAGGAAAAACAACTCAAGACTCCTGAGAAATCTGATGTTCTGGTAATTTCAAACCTCTAATAGTCTGTGTTTCTTGGGAATTCATATTGTGAGCTAATGTCAACGATCATGGATGATTTCTATTGGTTCTTGACATGGTCTAGTGCGGATTTGCACTTTGCGTGCGGTATGACAGCCCCCTTGGGCCAGTGGATTAGTATATACATCGCCAAGACGGTCAAGCCTGCTTCCCGAAACTCCTTGTGGTAGTTTGACACTTAAAAAAATCGAATGTCTGCATGTCGCTCGAACACCCCCGAGCGCGTTGGCTAAGATCCCAAAGCTTGAGAACATCCATGAAAATCCCAATAGTCTGTCCACTGGAAAATGCTCCAAACCTAAAAACACTCTGCTTCCAACAACTGCAACGCTCTGAGCTTCAGGGACCCTAGGATCCAATAAATCAACACACTGGATAACGGGATCCAGTATGCCCCCAAGACTCAAAACTTCCAACCCCAAGCCTAAGTAGTTTCTGGTTAAGGAAAGAACACAGAACTACAGAAGATGGGATGCCTTACCAAAATGTTCGCGTCTTTAAGCATTCAGACCAGCTGGCTTGTGACAAGTCCTTCGCCACGCCCCAATGGATATTGTGCAATGTTCACCATCTCCCGTATGAGGAAGGATCCATCAACACTGACGCCCCTCATCAAATGCCCTCTTCATGATATGTTCATGATTGTTCACGGTCTCTCTGACCGATTGGCCCCCATGTTGCTATGTTCGCCTCCCTTTTCAATGACCCACCAGTCCCTTTCATCTTCCATCACCCAAGATTCGTCCACAAAATAAGAAAATAAAAAACAAAAACAAAAAGGATGGCCGTCCACGCGGGCGGCCGTCCTCATGTGATGCGCAGACAGTGTGTTTCAAGTGAAAACCGCTGTGAAACCCCGGTGCGACCCCGGTGCGACCCTCGTCCTCGTCGTTGCGGAGCAGTTTCAACTTGCAGGGCTCCACCTGCTCCGCCGAGCTTTGGACCTCGGGATCCAGCGAGCTCGAGGCTCCGATGCGTCGCGAAAAGCCTTTTCTCGATCTGTGAGTCGTCTGAGAAAGAGAAGTAAACATTGAAGCAACTCTCCGAGTCGTTGGTTGATGATGTTCTTTGTTATATGTTGTTGAATATGTTTAGATGTGTTAAACTATGATCTCTCACCCAACACCACGGAACCAAGGCGACTTGGCTTTGGCACAACCGTGCTTCCATTGGGATGTCTGACCCCAAATTCGCAGCACTCACCTCGCGGAGCAGCTTCAATCGCAATCTGAGAACTCCAGAAGTTCTGTCTGCTCTAGACTCTAAGGATTTAGCCCACTTAGTGTCGCCACAAAAACCTAAGCTCAATGGGATGAGACCCAGAAGCCCACCACTCCAGCCAGGCATGCAGCTTTTTGCTCCAACTCAAGCCCAAGAACGAGCTGGTCTTTGCTCAGAACTTCGCAGCTTATGAAGACATGTCCCACTTCGATTGGTACCAGCGTTGACTTCAGGAAAATCACACTGATGCACACAGAACAAATTGCATGACTCCAAAGTGTCCAGATTTCGTGATCTGATGGCAACAAGAGGCATTCAGCCCATCTTTGGTACTCAGTCATCAGCCAGCTACCGAGTCACGAGGTCGAAACGGACAGGGAAGCGCAGAGACAAACTCGTTTCCCCTTACTACGGCCTCTCAAAAACGTCCAAACGTAGCGCCTTCTGACTGAAGCATTTCTCATCCTCCATCCAATTCCCCTGCCCTTTTCAAGGCTCATGAAAGTGGGTACTCGTGCGAAGGCCACCAACCAACGAATTAGCGCCGGCTCGAGAGGAACGAGCCACCTATCGAGCCCAGCGCGAAACCGCCGAGGAGCGAGAAACCGCGCCCTCAGAACCGCTGTCACGTTCCCGCGAAGCGCGTCGCGTCGCAACGCGCGTCACAGTCTACGGGGTGTCGGGGACTTGGTCTGGACCCTCCGATCCAAAAAACGTCAGATGCGATGTCGTAGCGCTGTGCTGCGCTGTGTTGATCCAGGAAAGAAACTGCCAAGAATAAGGAGTTCACACCAGGCTTCATGAGTATGGATGAGTATAGTATAATCCTCTGAGAGACCGATTGCTGTATCGAAGGTAGCATTTTGGAGATACTATTCGAGCCCTTGCAATGTGTGATCATTGATGGAAAGTGACCTGAATGTTAACGATTGGCACGATTCAATTGGACCCTTCTGAAGGCGCGAGGGGATCTTTTAGATCGTTTTGTATATAATATAGTTATATATATATACTTTTGGGGCTTGTGACCGTAATTTCGGGGGTAGCTACCCACTCACATCCAAAAGAGTACTGCCCTCAAATGACTGGCTTGATCACCGGTCTGCGTGTCCAAGTGAGGCCAGTGGATCTCCGACATCCAGCCGCACCCCGACGATGTGATGCCAGGGACCCTCAAGGTGTCCTGGGAGTCCTGGATGGGCTGTGTTTCTTGTCGCAAGCCCTGGATGCTCACTGTGCAACCGCAACTGAGAATGGGATGATCCAGCTAGAAGTTCCAGCATCTCATTAAGAACAATCAACCCTCCAGTCAAGAAGTATATGATATGCGATCATTATGCGTGTCTGCTAGAAGCAAATGAGGGACGGCCAAGATCAACGAAAATGCCCTGGAGGAAAACTGTCCGTAAGTGGAGGACGCCAGCTCTTGATTTGAGTTGGACCATTCTTCGTACCAAAATCAAACAAGCTCTTCGTCCAAATCGTCTGAAGCCTAGCCAAGTCAAAGAAGATCATCCCAGCCCTACAACTCTGCCAACTTCACCGGTCGTGCTCGGTCGTGCTCACTCATAGAGGAGGCGCAGTGAAGCCAGCAATAAGACCACCGTGAGAATGGTGAAAACCTCGATACGGCCACATGAATGACCCCCAACAAAATGCTTAAATTAATTAATTAACTATATATATATATATATTCATGTTATAAATAACTCTATATATGTCTATGTTCTATTATATCTTGTAAATTAATATATATATATATATAACTATATACCATTCCTAAAATCTGCTCAAGTTAAGATTAACTCCTTGGAAACCCTGTCTTGGAGGGATTTGTAGGTGGTGTCAGAACGTGTCGGATCCCTCAGATAACTTCATTGTGTGTGTGTGTCTTAATACCTGAGGAGGCGTGACACACTCAGTTGACGCATGGGGACGTGATTGAATCACCAAGCTACACCAGTTGACATGGCATACTGTACGATCTTGTCCTAATGACGTACGGCCCCGAGGGCCGCTTGGGCCGCTTCGGCGGTGCGCCGGGCCGCCGAGGCCCGAAGGCGTGCGCTGCTCCCACGGCGCAGCATGGCTTCCTGGGCGCAGCAGTGGCGGTGGGGCGGAGATCACTGGGAGTGAAATCAGTGTCAACATGCTATGAGGAAACCACATGACATGGTTGATTGAAAGGCCATTCCACGTCCAAAAAAGTACCAACGATGGCAGTTGAACTAAGAAATGGATGCCAGTTGCAGACCGTACTTCTGCAAAGTTCAACATGTTGATGATCAACCTAATGTTCCATAGAAGCGATTTGAGTCTGCGCATCTTAACATTCTGTATTGAATGCTGCATGCAGATGCAAGTAAGTAAGAGGGACCATTGTTGCTTTTGTGCGGAATCCTGCAGCAGAAACCCGTAGCCCTGCCGATTGTCGAGATCTCAGTCTTCCTGCAATTTTGCCCTGTTGCTTGACAACACTTCTTCGAACAAGTCCAGTGCTTTGAGTTCCCCGTTCGCCAGGAGCAAATTGGAGGGCCAGGAAATTGAGCTTGTTTGTGGGCTGGTAAGCAACCAATTGATCAAAGCAAAATCACCCAATCCTCGGTCAAACACTCTGGAAGTTCAGCGATAGTGGAATAGGGAGGAAGGGCCTCTTCTACTCACCAACGAGCATACCTCTTCAACTGTGATGCCTCTCAAGCATCTTCAAGCCATTCACTTACCACATCCACATTGTTTTCAGTTGAGATCCTCCCGCGCCCCCTCCCGTCGCCCCACGTTTGGGGAAACCCCAGCGGCTGCGGTGGCCACTCCCGCGCAAAAGGCCAGCAGCGCCAGGCCGTAGCAGCGAAAGAGCCGTCGCGGGCGCCCGAAGCAGCGGGAGTTCAGCAACTCCGCGCGGCGGAGGAGAGAGGAAAACGGGGCGCCTAGGCCGCCCACGCGGGTCCCGCCGGTGAACCAGGCGGCCGCAAGTTACGGCCGTGTACCGGCTTGGGCAAACCGCCGCCAAGCATGGTGGGGATGTGAGTTGGTGAAAAGCGCCACCACTTGTAGGCGCTTTTGGTAAGATCTCCAGAAGATGAGAGCACGACTAGCTTTGTGTCGTGAGAACTGCAAAGAAAGAGGGCGATTCAGGGAAAATTGATGTGTGAACTCCGTTGGAGGACATGGGTGAAGTCTACAAGTCACCTTGGATGTTCGAGGGTCATGTGATACTAATTTAGACATATTTAGACCGTTGATTAACAACGGCCCCATATCAGAATAGTTTTACATCTACAGTATATGGGGGGGCTTTAGGGAGTCTACATACCCACAAGCTCATGGGCTTTTGAGATGCAGACCCACACCTTGAGGCTCCAGCCTTTTGACCCATGAGAAAGCAGGCTATTTCAGCCCATCTGAAACGCTCAGCTCGGGCTTCACTGGTCCCCACCCCCCTCCAAGTACTCAATTCATCCAGCCTGTTGTCTCAATCTCTGGGCTGCAGCTGGCATCTTCACCTTTCATGGAGAATGGCAGGACAGACAGACCCCTTTGGTCCCATGTGGCAGAATGGCAGACAGACCCCTTTGTTGAAAGAGCTTTCTTGAGACCCCTCAGACCCCCACCCCTCTGGTCCCAGACCCCTCGGGTCCCACACCCCGCACGCACGACAGGACGAAGAAGAAATCCAACGGACGATGCGTGGACCACCAGGACGAGTCGTGGTGGTCAGGTGGATGCCCACCACTTCTCGGAGCTCAGCAGTTGAGCTGGTCTCTCTATGCTGGTCCTAGTTCTCAAGAGGTCCTTGGACCCTCGTGGTGGTGAAGCGCAAATAGAGGACAAGGGGGGGTTCATGAGGTCAAGAGCATGACCTTCTCTTCATTGCATCAGGGGAACTGTTATAAACTGTTTGTCAGCACTTCACACCAGTCAAACCAGTGTTGCCTGGATTGCCTACCACATCAGACTACCCGCCAACGTCCTTCTTGAAACACTGAAGGACAATCTAGTATAGTATAGTGATCTGCTTCCCCCAGCAACTGGGAACACATGGCTGTGGGTCAAAACCGGGGTACCGCTTGACCACAGAGAATGAACAGAATAGCCCACCAAACATGGCCAACATAAGCGGGTGAAACAGGCTCCAAGTGTTGACCCGCAGCCACATGGTGCCATTCTGCCACAACAACAACCCCCGCCTTTCCAGCAATCTGGGCCGCTGGAGCATCCTGCAAATCGAAGCGTTTTGGTCTCAGGGATCAATGATTCCTCCAGATTCCAAGGCTTGGAGTTGGAACAAATGTGGAAACATTGACCATGTACGAAGATTGTATGTTTATGTCTTTTTCTGGCAGCGTGTGTTGTGCTCCATGTGTTTGAAGAAGGAACTACTTCTCCATAAAAACAACAGGAATGGAATGTACTTGGACAGACCCACTGATATGTGGGTGCGAAACTCACTGTGTCGTGTTATCTGCACGTGCTAGAATTGGATTGTTGTACCACCTCACGGTGAAAAATAAGAAGTCCTCGTGTGAGGTGGCTGGCAATGATGTAGGGATCAGCATGACTACGCAGCAGGACCTCCACCTTGAGGTCCTGATCTTCTTCTGGCCTGGCACGGTATGGGCGTGCACTAGCCATCTTCCCACCCAGCAGGGATTGCTCATCAACGGAAGAGTGGAGTGAAACGGAAGCGAGAGATGTCTCAGGGATCAAAAAGCAAAGGGTGGGA